GCATTATACTTTAACAGTTTAAACTTGTCATTAATCACCTGGGAGGGTCTGACTCACCTGTTGTGCTGAAGAATCCAAAAAGCCCGATGAGACCGAGGAGAACCACCTGTGGAACCTTCATCATCCTCTTCCTCAGACTGTTGTGGTTCGGCTCGGCTCGGTTCGGTTCGGTTCGGCTCACTGTGCTCTGCTCTGTCCTGCTCTCAGTTTAAAGCTCTCTGCAGCTCCCTGACTGCTGACCAATCACACACTCATCCGCTCAGCACCACGTGCCCCCCCCCCCCCACCAGTGCCCTGTGTCACTGGGAGTACTGGGCTGATGTAAACTGCTGACGTCACAGCGGTGGTAAAATGATGGTCTTTTACTTTGAAAAGAACGTGGATCTTAAACATAATTAAAAAACTAAATTTGTTTCACATAAAACTAAAGGTTTACAGTTAAAATAATTCTCTTCAACCTCCACTTCTACTGGCAGAGTTTTTAAACTAACTGTCTTATGTTGAGAATCAGGAAAATAATTACTGCACGAGTTTAAAACTGTTGTTCATGACTCTCAGGTGTATGGAGGACCACATCTGCCATAACTGAAAATACATGTGGAAATAATTAAACGGCTTGATAAATGAGTAATGAAGTAATAATGTGGCAGTAGTTCTCCACACAGGTACTACCACAGTTCAGTTTGTGTAAAACTAACTGTTGTTGTTATTTAGGCAGGATTCTAAAGAACTCTAGATTTTTTCCTTTAATCAATCTGCTGTAATGATCAACAATGTTTGCAAAACAAAGATGTCCTTTTTATATATTTTTTTCAGTATCTGTACACCAGACAAAAACAACTACAGCTAAATCTAATTTTTAAAGAAAATCAAAAATTACATTTTCTCAAATATCTTAAAATCAAAATGGTAAAAGATTAATAAGCTCACTTATTTTAATATGATTCAGATGATTCAGATGATGATGTGATGATGATGATGATGGTGATGATGGTGATGATGATGATGATGGTGATGAT